CACACACACACACCCCCAATCCTTTACAAACTCTTTTTAAAGATTTATTTATTTACAGGGTGCCCGGGTGGCTCAGTCGGTTAAGCATCTGCCTTCAGCTCAGGTCATGGTCCCACGGTTCTGGGACTGAGCCCTGCATTGGGCTCCCTGCTAAGCGGGAAGTCTGCTTCTCCCTCTCCCTCTGTCACTCCCCCCTCCCACTTGTGTTCTCCCTCTCTCTCTCAAATAAATAAAATCTTTTTTAAAAAAAAGATTTATTTACAAAGAAAGAAGACTACAGCTCAAGATCCCTTATAAATACAAATGTAAAAGTTCTTAACAAAATATAAGCATATTGAATCCAACAGTACATAATGACTAAGTAGAATTTATCCTAGGAATGCATACTTGCTTTAACATTTGAAATTAATCAACAAAATTCACCAAATTAGCAAAATACAGTATAACAAGCATATGATCATCTCATTAGTTACACACAAAAAATAGCATCTGACAGAATTAAATGCCCATTCATGATAAAAAACAAACTTTGATATAAAGGAGAACATTCTCAACTTGATTAACAACTACTACCCTACACTGCACCTATTAGTGAATGGCTAAATGTGTTCTCCCTAAAATGAGAAATAAGACAAAGATGTCCACTCTCATTGTTTCTATTCAACACTGTACTACAGGTCCAAGCAAGTGCAATGAAGCATGAGAAAGACACAAAATGCATAAATCCAAAAGAAAGAGGTAAAACTGTCTTTATTTGCAGATGACATGATTGTGTACACACAAATTCTAAGAAACCAACCAGAAAGCTACTGGAAATTAACAGGAAGAAGAGGTACAGGTCAGCACATTAAAACTGTTCCTATTTCTATCCTATCAATGAACATTTAGAAATTGAAATTAAAAATATAATTTTAGGGGCAGAAAATTAAAAATATAATTTTAGGGGCACCGGGGTGACTCAGTCAGGTAAACGTCTGCCTTTGGCTCCGGTCATGATCTCAGGGTCCTGGGATCAGACCCCGTGTTGGGCTCCCCACTCAGCACGGAATCTGCTTGTCCCTCTGCCCCCGCCGCTGCTCATGCCCCTCTGAGAAAAGTCTGTTTTCAGTAAATGTTGCTCCAACAACTGGCACTTGCATAGGAAAGAATGAACTTTCACCCATATCTCACATCACATAGAAAATTAATTTGAAAAGAATCACAGACCTGAAGGCAAGAACTAAAACATCAAGAAAGCACAGAAACAACCTATGTTATCATGGGGTGATCAAAGAAACTCTCACAAAAGGAAAATGATACACTGGACTTAAGGAAAATTAAACATCTTGCTCTCTAAAAAAGACACCATTACAGAAAAACAGTCATGGTATGGGAGGAAATATTTGTAAATACATGTATCAAAGAAATTGTATCTGCAATATAAAAACAACTCCTACAACTAAATAATTATACTAAAAACAATTTAATTTTTAAAATTGGGCAAAAGATATTTCACAAAAGAAGACATACAAATGGGCAGTAAGACATGAAAAGATGCTCAATATGACAGTCAGGGAATTCAAATTAAAACCTCACTGAATGAGACACAGATAGACATCATCAGTAATGTCAAATGCTGAGGAATCTTTACCAACAAACAAATCTCAATGGGATATCACTATACACCCATTAGAATCACTAAAATGAAAAAGACTGACAACATGAAGTCTTGTTGAGGATGCTGAAGAATTGAAATTCTAACATACTACTGAAGGGAATCTAAAATGGTATGGCCACTTGGAACCGTGTTTGACAGTTTCTTAAAAAGTTACCTGCATACATACAATCCTGCCATTTCACTCCTTAGGTGTATTTACCCAAGAGCAATGATAATACACATCTACACAAAGACTGAGTAACAATGTTCATAACACCTTTATTATAATTGCCAAAAGCTTGGAAACAACACAAGTGTCCATCACCCGGTGAATGGATAAAATACTGTGAATATCCATACACAAGAATATTACTCAGCATTAAAAAAGGACTACTGATAATGCAACAGCAGAAATCTATCCCAAAATTATTACAGTGAAAAAAGCCAGACCCAAAAGATTACATAAGATATTCCATTCATACAACATTCTAGAAAATGCAAACCAATCCATGATGTGAGAAAACATATCAATGGTTGTCTGAGGCTAGAAGCAGCAAAGGATTATCAAAGTTCATGAGGAAACTGTGGGGAATTTGGAAATATTTTGTATTTTGATCACTGTAGTAGTTTCACTGGTATATATATCTGAAAAAAACCCATCAAACTGTATATACTTTAAATCAGAGTAGCTTATTATACATAAATTATACTCCATATGTTGTTTTAAAACTTACACACTAAAAATCTCATTTGTGAATAATGAAGAAAAAAGTGAGTCAAAACGAGTAATTTGGAAGAGCTTTTATTTAAAAATAGGTATTAAGAATTAACAGCTCAAAAATTTCTATTCAAGATGGCAGTTTTAAAGATCAAATTATTTACTTAAATGCATTTAAATTTAAATAGTCCTACTCAGATTGTTAACACTATAATGTGGCTGTACTATAGAATTTCATACACTTTAAATTTCTGTACTGTCCTGAGAAACAGGAAATAGACACAGGTTTACTATAAACTGAGAAATGCCTAAAACCTTGTTTTGACTCTAAGAAAAAAAACAGTTCTCATATGACAATGTATTTATCTTTTAAACTTATTACTTAACACAGCTCGAAACCACCATTACTCCAAGGAAGCTGAAATAAACATTAACTTCTTATAAGATTTTTCAATTCACTTCACTTTTCATTAAAGAAAGTACCTACAACTCAAACTCTGTAAGCCAGTAAAACAATGAAGTAGAAAAATTAAAACAGTCACTAAACTTCTCCATTCATCACAAAATGTACACATAACTCAGTCCTTTGGTGGCTGAACGCACTTGGACTGCATAAACCAAGACACTTGAGCCATTTTGGACACGCCTAGACAGGAAAATTTCAAATGATGGGAAGGCAGCTTCACAGAAATAAAAACTCATAAAACCAAAAGCCCTCTGGCAATGCTTAAGAAAACTTCAGAAGGAACTTGCTACAAAGGACCATGGGCAAAAATAGCCCAAATTATTTCTGTTTAGAAGTATGTTCTACAGAATCCTTAGAGGGGTTGAAATAAAGAGAACAAATCAGATCAATTCAGTAAAGTGCCAAAAATAGATATTTAATTAAATATGGCAACATCTTTATTATTTAAAAATTCAACTGATCAGCATGGTCGTGAAAGTGGAAATTTTTTCATAAAGCTTTTATGCAAAAAACTCCACAGAAGACAAACCCATATCAAAGAGTTACTCTGAATAAACACACACTTTTTAGGGTATTTTGAATTCACAGACATTCACACCACTGTTACCATTCCCACTGTCTATAGATTCACCGATCTGAGTCTCTGATTCTTCATCAATAAAATACTCTCACAGGCCCCTTCTGGCTCAGTAATGTATACTCAGAATAAAGACCCTTTATAAAAACAAAAACTCTTAAGTATGGAAGAGGCGAGAAAGTAAAAGAATAAATGTATGGGAATGTAAAAAATCATCCAGTTATTTAGCACACGGCCCAATCCCAGCAAGATCACTCAATCCCTAACACATAAGAGACTATTATCATGTCATGTAATGCTCAGGAAACACAACTAGACCAGGAATGCAAATGAGCCACATCCACATGCCTCCTTGAAAGCAAGGTGGAGAGTAGCAAAGTCCCTAAGGTGGGAATCTGGGTTATTTTCTATCCTCCATCATGAACTTTTTGGATTGCTGGCATTCAACAATCATTTGGCCTTTCTGAGCCTTAGATTATTATCTATTTAGAGACTGAACAGATGATCTCAAAAGTCCCTTCCAACTACAGTACCTCTCAAGAAAAATGAAAAACAAAAAGGGTGCTTAAATTACATTTAGTTAGTCATCAGGAGTTGCTTAGCCTTGTGCTCAGTATCCTATGTAAATATATATAACTTTATTAGTACATCAGTAATGCATAAAAAACCCATTATTACTTCATCAGATTTGATGGTTTCACATTAGTAACCACACAGAGAATTATTATTTCAAGAAACTTTAAATACATTAATTTTCCTACACAGCCCTATAGGATGTATTTTAATGTCAAAAAGGAATGTCCAAAAAAAGTAAACTGGTTTCAGTGATCATACTATTTATAGCAATTTGAGTTTTGTTCTTCTGAGCTGCTGTGTGTGTTACAGGATTAGAGCAGATGAGTAATCCTGAAGGATGCCATACAACCAACTCAGTACTGCTAGGCTCACTTGTCACATTTTACTTTATGTTTTTTTAAGGATTATTATTTTTAAAACTCAATTTTGTTGTATAATCATGTGAAATATTTACATGGCTCCTAAGCCACATCTATAAAAAGAACTAATTTCTTCCAGGAAGTCTGGCTTCTTCTCTATTCCTCCACACACTTTCAAACTCACAGTCTCAGAGACAGAGAAGAAGGCAAAAGGTATGGACTCCAGATTCACATCTTGAGTGTATGACCTTGGCTTGTGACTTAATCGCTCCAAACTTATTTCCTCACATCCACAATGGTGATAATAATAAAACCTACTTCAGAGGGACATTGTGAGGATTAAATAAGATCATCTGTTAACAGTGGTCGGCTTTGTGGGACCTTGGTGAAGATCAACCACTATCATCAGGCTCTCATTTGAGGCTCAACACAATCCTGAGGTACAGACACAGATGAAGAAATGAACCTAGAGGCGCCACATCACTGGATCAAGGTTGGGGGGCCCAAAGCCAAGACCACAGCCCGTCTTCCAATCCCAGCACTATACCACAGTACTCACTCCTAAGATTCCAGGCTCCTTCATGTTCCATACTCATCGCGTACTCCCTACAGCTAGCACAAGGGAAAGAGAACTTTGTTCCCACCCAGGGCAACTTCAAAAGACTCACTGTATTCAGTGCATTGAGGGTAGTGTCATCCCGAGATGCTGCAACACAGCCATCTTCTGTGGAACCTCCATCACACATCCCTGCGAATGCTGCCATGCTCCTTGGAGGACAGAAAGGGGAAACATCAGCAAAGAATTATGTTAATCCTCGGATTCCAGAGTACATTCTCAGCCCAAACCAAATTCCATTACTACATGCATGATAAGCCAGAGTCCTCAGTCCTGTTTCTACTTTTCTTAAAACAAACAAACAAACAAACAAAAAACAACTTTTTTTAGGGGAACCTGGGTGGCTCAGTTGGTTAAGCAGCCGACCCTTGGTTTCAGCTCAGGTCATGATCTCAGGGTCTTGAGACTGAGCACAGGCTCCACACCAAGCACGATGTCTGCTTAAGATTCTCTCTCTCCCCCTCTGCCCCTCCCCTCACTTGCACACTCATGCACGCTCTCTCTCAAAGAAATAAATAAAATCTTAAAAAAAAATTTTTAGGAGTACCTGCGTGGCTCAGTCCGTTAAGCATCTGACTTTTTTTTTTTTCCTTAAGATTTTACTTATTTATTTGTCAGAGAGAACAAGCAGGGGGAGTGGCAGGCAGAGGGAGAAGCAGGCTCCCCTCCCTGAGCAAGGAGCCCGATGCAGAACTCGATCCCAGGACCCTGGGATCATGACCTGAGCCGAAGGCAGACGCTTAACCAATTGAGCCACCCTAAGCATCTGACTCTTGATTTTGGCTCAGGTCATGATCTCAGGGTCATGAGAGCTGGGTGTGGAGCCTGCTTAAGATTCTCTTTCTCTCTCTCTCTCTCTCTCAAAAAAAAAAAAAAAATTAAGATCCTCTACAGTTCACCCTTCACTCAATCACAAAGGAAAATGTTTCACTTACTCCAGTCCAGTTGTGTTATTTCTTCCCATGCTTTACCTGTACTCAGCTTTTAGTTTTGAGGGCATGAATAAGCTAAAACAATGTGCCACGACAGTTGGCTAGAGTACAATCTTTTGAAAGAAAGATTATAATCTTTTTGAAAGAAAGATCTTTTGAAAATAATTAAATCCTCTGAAACTTTGCTTAATTCCTTTCATGCTATACATCAACTAACCTTAGGTGAGTTAAAAGCGGGAAAGGGGATGAAAAGAATTCTTAGTGGCCACGCATGCACTGCACTGAGGCGGCCTCGTCTCTGCTGTGTACCTCACACACAGCGCAGTTGACCGCAGGATTAAAGTTCAGTTACTGGGGCCTGCCATGGTGCACGCTGCTGACATTGTGGTAGTCCCAGAGACCACTGCAGACGAAGACAGGCTCTTTGCCTGCACTGTGATGAGCAGGGACAGATTTAAACTTATCTTTTATATTTTAGGCATTTGTAGGTTAACAAGTTCTCATGTAGGTAAGCCACAAAAACACCAAGCTTGGGTCAGGCATCAAGGAACAGCCTAAAGTAGAGAAATCTGTAATGGGATTTTAAAACGGGCTAAATGACCCAATCACTCAACTTGTATTTAGAAGTGTTGATAATTGCATGTATGGCTTAAGATATTTCCCTTCTGCAGAGTTCTAAAATCTGATGTGGGGCAAAGATTGAGGAAAAAAGAAAAAAGTGACTTTACCATGGTAAACTTTTTCTCTGACATGAAAACTCAGAGCTCTGATTACAGAGGGTATAAGAAAACAAAGTGAGAGAATGTTCAATGTATAAATAAAATTTCAGGGGAAAGGAGAAAGTTTATTGCCTCCTAATCAATTCAGATGGCCTAATTCAGAGGGCAGAATGGGGAGAATTCCTATTACCTTGCTGCCCTCAAGTACATAAGGAGGTCACAGTCATTAACTCCAGGCATCCAGACCAGTTCCTCATGTTGGGTCACAGTGTCGCCATCTGGAGAAGGGAACGGTTGCAATTCAGGAAGTTTGGCCTGTAAGACAGGGATGAAAAAGTCACAATCAAGGAGCATTTAAAGAGCTGCCTCAACAGGAAGGCCCCGGGAACAGATGCACTAGTTACTGAGCCTCTTTCTTCAGGCAGGACCAAAATAACAGAAACAACTGTAAGTCACTGAAACCAGCCTGTAGCACATTTCAGGATCATTTCACCATAGAAGATTTCACAATGGACTGCTTAATCTCTACTTAAGGAGCAGCAAACAGTGTCAAAATAAACCAGTGCCAGCATGATCCAAAGAGTAAAACAAAAATAGATGCATGTGAATAAAAGAAATTAGGGGGGGGGGAACCCCTCAGGACAGAACAGTTCCTTGATAAAGAAGGGAAAAACACACACATTTCCAATATAACAAGTTTACAAAGAGACAGATATAAATAATGAAACCTCACCTAAGGATATGTGCTAAAATACCAAACGAGCTATCCTATTAAGTTAAGCTACTCTCAAGAGAGTCAATAACTACAGTACTATCAAGGTAAACATAAAAAAAAGACACAGAATTGGAGTTAACATTAAAAACACAGTTGAACTAAATGATGGCGTCAGAAATCAGACCAGCAGTAGCTTGAGGAGGAGTAGACTGCTTGTGAAGGGACAGGAAGGAGTTTCAGAGACAAGAGAAATGCTGCACCTTGATATGAACTGTTACAGCAGACCCAACAGTGTACATTAAGATATGAACAAGTTCACTGTATATCAAGTATACCTCAATAAACTTTTTAAAAAACATTTGAACGACAGTACTCAACAACCAAGATTCTAAGTCACCTCTGGGTTAGAGATCCAAATACCCCTGGCATGTTCCCATCCTTACTCTGCGGGGCAGAGCAAGAGTCAAGCATGTACTACGACTACCACAACCATCAGGGGCCTATAAAGCCAAGCATCTGCAAAACACACATGTTCCTATTGTCTCAGATGATGAACACGGACACACCTGTCAAATATTTTAAACTAAGAGCTACAGTTAAAAAGCTCCAGTGTCCACAGAAACCAGGCAAAAAAATTAAACGAAGCAAGGAGAGGATAAGGCAGCACTGTCCAACAGAAATAAAATGAGAGCTACATATTTCATTTTAAACACTCTAGTAATCGCAGGAAGTAAAACACTACCTCCCAGTCTGGCCTAGCTACATTTCAAGTGCTCACAGCCACTCACAGGCAGTGGCTCCTGTCCTGGGCACAGAGGTATCAGGTGCTAAGTAGTGAGGGGAACCAGGGTGTAATGGAGAGTGCTGCCCTGTCCAGGAAAAGCAACCAAGCAGGAATGAGAAGCAGTACTTGTATGTCCCCTGATTTTTTTCCGAAGTCCAGAAATTTTGATTTTTCAAAACAATCTTGTGGCAAAACAAAACATTAGCAGACCATGGGGTCTTAGGGCTCCCAGTCTGCCTCACAGGAGATCTCTGAAACCTCTAAATGTGTACCAAGCACTGACTTTCTCCAAACAAGGATGCTCTTCTTTAATTTAGTATTGACTTTTATAACATTTAACTGGGTGCCTCAATTAAACAGAACTGAGGTCTGCTTAAGACATAGTAACCATATTGGAATAAAATTTAAAACACAAGAGGTATTTGCATCAAAAGGCCTTTTTTGACCTTTGTACCGAGTTCTGCTTCCCCAGCACCAAGTACAATACCTGGTAGAGTAGCTCTCCAATGGCTGTTTGTTAAATTAGTTAAAAAGTACTATTATTGTGGTAGAGGACAAATCCTCCCCGGTCAAGAGAAAAATAAGCTGGAAATATAGTTAGATAGTTTATAGAAAAAGAAATGCAAATGGCTCTTAATGATAGGAAAACATGGTCAAACTTGCTGATAAGAAAAAGGCAAATCAATGACACTGAAATACAATTTCTCATCTGTCAGAATGACATAAATCCCGAAGTGTGACAATATACAAGACTCTTATTGTATTAGCACTTGAGTGAGCTGCTAGCACAAAGGCAAAAATGGTACGATGTCTACAGAGGGGCATTTTGTAATGTCCTCACATTTCCACGTGCACCTGCCCTTTAAGCCAGGCATCCCCCTTCCGGGAATATATTTCAAAGATACATTGGCAAAAATATAAAAATCTGTATGCTCAGGCCATTCACTACAGCATTACCTATAATAGCACATAACTGGAAGCAACTTAAATGCCCAACAATAGGAACTGGAAGAATGAACTATTCCATCCCCGCAATGGAGTTCCATGAAATGGGAGAAGGAAATGAGGAGTCACTCTACACACTGCTACGGAGGGAACAGCAGGATACATTGTTAAAAGATAAACGGAAGTCGGTAAAATGTGTGTATCATGCTACCACTTATCTAAGAACAGAGGGTTGGGGAATAAAAATAAGGATAAATCAAAACAATAATTATCCATCAGGGAGAGAAGGAAAATGTGGAAGGGACAGAGATAGCAGACTTCTTTGAGCACACTTCTTCCTTTGTATGTTTGACTTCAGAGTTATGTGAATAACTTTATGTAACTATAAAAACAAAATGAAATTTAAAGAACAACAATCTCTTAAAAACCCTAAAGCAAAGGGAAATAAATGCACTAACTATATAGTGAGTTGGTTCCTCTCTAGGAATTATTTCAACTAACTTTAAAACACATATTAATTTGCCTATAAAGCCCTAGTGGGATATATTCTAAGAACAACAACAAAATATTTTAATAGTAAGCGGTTTTCAATAACCATATTATTTGTAGCAGTGTTAAGTACTATTATTCTGCACTATTATATATGTATTATGGGATTAAAGCAAATGAATAATTACATTGGAGTCATCTGAAAATGGGATTTGAGACATGGGGAAAAGATACAGATATAAAAGGAAAGAAAGATAGGATTAAATATAAAACCCAGATAAAAATTTGAATTGGAATTAGAAAGAATCTGCAATATATTTTATCTTCAAAAAAAGGGGGGAGGCCCATATTTCCTAACCTGTTCCCTGAAAAGGCCTAGGAATAGTAACCAACCTAGTAACAATGAACACCCAGCACCCAGTCAAAAAATGTCACTTCCCAATAAAACAATAAGGGCTCCTATGAGAAAAGTTTAATTCTAGATCAACGGCAGGGAATATACAAGATGAAACATTAAAATCATGTCATACCAGTTAAAAGAACCCTACCAAAAATCCCTGGGGTCCGTCTAGTCAAAAGGACACAGAAGATGGCAGGAAGAGGCATCCTACCAATCCCAAAAGGATAATTTAATCATCAGTAAGAATAAGTTCAACTGGTTAGCAGATAACAAATAATTTAAAATCCACTGGTGACTGCTGAAGATGCTGGGAAACCAACCTATTATTTTTGAAAACTGGTGAACAGAAGGAAGGAACTGAGCATTTATCTTGCCTTTCCTCTGTGCTTCTGATAATCAAATAGTTGGTGGTAAAGGGAAAGCTTCCTTTATTCACCTAATAAATGAAGGAATGACAGAGTATCACCATTTTAAAGGGTGGTTCTAAGTAATAAGCCATGGCTGCAAATCAGCATTACAAGGACACACATACTTCCTGGTCGACTACTCAGCACCACCCATGCCAGGCGCAGAGGACTGAACTAGGATGATGTTAAACTTCTAGATTTAACTACTAATTTTCAAGATATGCCAAGGACAAGGGAACAAGTCTAATCACACATAAAGATGAAATCAGCCAAATCCAGACTATGGGACACCCTAATGGACAAAACACTCACCTTCTTCAATACATATATTGAGAGAAGGGGAAAAAATGAGAACAATATATGAATTAAAAGAGATTTAAGAGACCTATTAACCAATTGCAATGCATGGCTCTTATTTAGATTCCAATCTGAACTATAAAAAAAAAAAAAGGTATTTAGGGAAATCTGGACCAAGGGGTACTTAAGAAATTGCTAATTTTTATTAGGTATTACATATTGTGACTTTGTTTTCTGAAAGAGCTCTCTCTTTGGGATATTAACAAATAAATGATAGATTTGTGATTTATTTCAAAATAATGGTTGGAGAGGTGTGAAGGAGAATAAATGAAACAAGTTTGACCGTAACCTGATATGTGTGAAAGCTGACTAATAAGGGTAAGGGGATTTATTTTACTATTCTTTCTTGATTTTTACAAATGTTAATATTGCACCAAATAAAAAAAATTAAAATTTTAATAAGGAAAATACTGCCAATCCGTAAAAAAGTCCTGTTACGTTTGGTGCTCCAAAACATTTCTTTTTTAAAATAAAGCCTCATGAATATATTTAGAATCTGATATAAAATAAATGTAAGTATGCAAGAATGTAAGCATACTGGGCGCCTGGGTGGCTCAGTCGGTTGAGCGACTGCCTTCGGCTCGGGTCATGATCCTGGAGTCCCGGGATCGAGTCCCACATCGGGCTCCCTGCTCGGCAGGGTGCCTGCTTCTCCCTCTGGCCCTCCCCCCTCTCATGTGCTCTCTCTCTCTCATTCTCTCTGTCTCAAATAAATAAAATCTTTAAAAAAAAAAAAAAGAATGTAAGCATACTAAACCTGTTCCTTTCCAAGAATTTTAGCATCTTTTACTTAAGAACCACTTTTTCTTGGTCACAGTGGCCTATGACTATGGGTTTCAAAACAAACATAAAGCCTTAACTTAGAATTTCATTGTTTTAGAATCGTCACTGACTTAATGTTCAAACATTGATTTAAGTTCTCCCAGTAAAGGGTAAGTGGATATTTATTTACGGCTTTTTTGTAAATAAAAATGCAGTGATCTTTGGCTTTAAAAAATTTGTTTCTGTGAAAATGTTTGTTAATCGAAGCCAACAGAGTTATTTACAGAACAACTGAGCATGTCTAGTTCTTCGTGTACGAGAACTGTTTTCCCTCCCCAAACCTTAGTTACCTGAATTGTCCTAAGATTATTCGTAAAAACTGAAATTCAGTGATTAAAGGGAAGTGAGAATTCTAAACAAACAAACAAAAAACAAAAAACCCACTTTTTCTATTATGGCAAGGAAAAAAAAATCAGTAAAATAAACTTTAGTACAAAGATCTCAAGACACAAAGAGGAAGGAAAAATGGGTGGGAAAATACAGTGGCAAGAGAGCAGAGAGAGGGACAGGTAGTCCGGTGGTACCAGGTCAGTACTGGATTCCCTGATTAAACTGTAACTGCTAGGCCTGAAGACACAGAATATATAGTTGGTGGTAGTCAGACCCACCTACTAGGCCACACCAAGGCAAGGGTATACTTGAACAAGGCAGGCATTAAGGAGGATGTCTTCTTGCAGCTTCTTTTTGTCTGTCTCAGTTATAATCCTAGTCCTGAGATGAGACGTGCCTTCTAGAAATTAGATGCCCCTGATGGTTTCTACGTTTTGGTTTTAATATTCCTTCACTTCTTAATTTCTTTCTTATCACAGAGTTAAAATAGGTTCTTAAAAATATGAATGGCATACAAGGAATGCTCAAAATCCAGACAGAAAAATGAACAACTAAACAGACTACTAAAACCTCAATATCCTTACGAACAGTTGTCTGTGTCTCACATCTGTACTGTGTGATGGCCATATGGCTCACTCAAATGATAGCCCATGCCAATCACACTAAACCCACTTTCCTCACAGTTTAAAAATGGACAGTGACTCGATCCATGGCAATGACATATAGAGACTACTAGAGACCTTCTGGAAGACTGTTCCTTGCTCTTAAGGGGAAAAGAAGGATGATCCCTTTTCCTGCTCTCAACATCTGCTATAATTCATTCAAGGTAAGATCCACTAATATTTTAGTGCATTTAGAAAGGAGGAATGCTGCCAATTAAATTATAATCATACTACAGAATGTACAATGAAGTCTGATGTCAGAGATAATAAAATGTGAAGGAAAGAAGTACATCTTAGAATCAGTAAAATTCAGCTACCACCTAAAAAAGAAGGCAGCCGTGGGGGGACAGCTAGGCACCAAGAGAACTGTACAGAAGCTAAGCAGAGCCCTGGTCCTGTCTGACCAGGATGTGATGGTACATGAGATCATAAACAGCCACAGGCAGCCAGAGTTTTCTAGTCCTGCCTGTCAAAGCATCCTGATACAGAGATATGGGGGGGTGGGGCAAAGAGGGCACTAAGAGTCTTAGTAAACTGAATAAAGCATGAGAGGACACAGGTCACAACACAACAAGCTGCTGACCGACAAAGAGCCTAAGCATCCCACCTCTTCTGAAGGGCAGGGGTTTTTTAAAACTTACAATTCAAGTATGTAGTGACCAAATGTCCATAAATGAATGAATGTGTACATGAAATGTGGTAGCCTTAAAAAGAAATTAAAGTTGGTATGTGATACAACATGGCGGCACCCTGACGGTTTTATGTTAAGTAAAATAAGCCAGATGGAAGGACAAATACTGTGCAATTCCACTGATACGAAAAATCTAGAGGAGTCAGATATACAGAGACAAAGTAGAAGAGGGGTTGCCATGGGCTTGGGGAGAGGAAATGGGGTGTTTAACGGGGACAGAGTTTCAGTCTGGGAAGATAAAAAAGTTCTGGAGGTGGATGGTGGTGATGGTTGCACAACAATACGAATGTACCTAAAACCTCTGAGCTGTACACCTAAAATTGTTTAGAATGGTAAATTTTACATTTTTAAACGTTTTAATTTTTAAAAAGTATGCAGTGATCAGGGGAAAAAGAACCCTGCATTTATATAAAATTCCCTAAAACATAACAATGATTCTAAATTGCTGCTTAACAGAATAAAGGGCCAGCAGAATAATAAGAAATAAAACCCTATTGGAGAAGCTACTAAAATTTGCTTTACCTGATGGCTAGGACCAACACGAATTTCCCCCTGGGTGCTGTTCAGCCTCCTGTCATGAAAAGAGCAGATCAGGTTAGCACCATATAGTCCTGCATAAACATTCACACATTTTTTTCAAGACAAACAATTCACTTCAAATAAATGAGGGATAAGTTCCCCACTATTTCTAGCGTTGCCCTGTACATGCACACTCCCCCACCCCCCATACACATCTCTAAAATCTCTTTCCTCTAAAAGCCCCGTTCCTGCAGCTTCCTGTCGTGAGTACCCATACCACGGTTCTTCAGACCTCAGAGAGGTACGTTCCAACAGAACAATCCCAGTACGGGTTTCTTCTTTTCAAAACATTTCACACGCCCTACTGTAAACCTTATTAAAAGATAAACAAGAGAACTATGGTTCCTAGCACACACACGGGGTCATTCATTCATTCAACAAATATTTATTAAGTACCTACTGTACACTCAAAACTGTCCTAGGTGTTGGGGATAAAGTAATGAGAAACACAATACCCCTACCTTATTAGAACTTATATTCTTATCTGGGTACAAAACAAAGAAACAAAAAGTAGATCAGATGATAAAAGGGCCAAAGAATTAAGGAGATGGTAAATGATGAAATATTTTCACAGTTCTTTATACAAGATAGTTAAGAAAGGCCTTTGGGCCAAGGGCGGGGGGGGGGGGTGCAGAGAGAAAGGTAGAGAGAGGATCACAAGCAGACCCCATGCCCAGCACAGAGCCCGATGAGGGGCTCAATCTCATGACCCCAAGACTATGACCCCAGCCAAAATCAAGACTTGGATGCCCAAATGACTGAGCCATCCAGCCATGTCCCAGAAAAGGCCTTCTTAATAAAAGCAAAAAAAAAAGCAGAGATGAAAAAGGTGTGGGGATGAGCCCAGAAGATCTAGGAGGTGGAAGACTTCATCTTGTTTCTGTCTGTGTCATTCCTACTGCACTTGCAAAGCTCACCCTCTCTTGCTTCAAATCCTAGCCATCCCAGGTTCCTTTTAGAAGCCACTGTTTCTGTAAAGCCTTTCCTGATCTCCTTCCCATTTCACCTCACAACTCCCCAAAGTGTGGACTGCCTTCCCCTTTCACTCCTTCATGAAATGCTTGTTGACTTTTTTGTCCCAGGCCTTGCACAGGGTACTCACAAGGTATATGGTGACGGACAAAGAAGTACAGTCCCTGCCCTCCCGGGGCTTCGTTCCCAACTCCTGGTTATCTCAACTCTGAGTCGTGACTAACTGTGGGCGATCTCAGGCCACCCTTTCTGGCCCAGGGACAAGTCTGCTGTGTTGCACAGCCACCTCTGAATCTCCAGCAGTGCTGGGGAGAGAGGGCTTTTACACGGTGAGAGCTGCCGATGGTGACTGGTAGACTTCACTGTGCTGCGGAGTATAACAAAGCAGCAAAGCACCGGAGATGCCACACGGTCTCGTGTTCGTCCTCCACAGAGTTGATAACCCTAACGTTACGTGTGAAGTTGTTAAAATGAATTCTGGAAAATGATTATTTCCTTCAGGTCTAACACTTTTTTCTTTTGACCCAACGGTTTCTCTCAGGAAGAGTCTTATTTGGAGAAAGTGGGCAGTAGATATAACAAAGGAAGGGAGAAGACTCGGAAAGGAAAGATGTGGCCCGGTTCTTAAGGAGCTTACACTCCAACTACCCAGGGAAGTATCATCCATCCCCAAAACACCAGAACAGTTCCAATCACTACACTGGAAAGCACAAAACATCTCAGGAGAAACAGAATACAAAAATGCCAAGGGAAATGATCAAAATTAGGCAGGCTTCACAGGGAGACAACAGTGCATGCAGTAGTTAATTCCCAAAGAAACCTCTGAAGGGGAGCCCATCAGCAGGGCAAAACAGGACTTCCCAAGGGGGGAATAAAACCCTGCAGAGGTGGGACGGGACACGGTGGGAGAAAAGGTTGCATAAGTACAGTCCTTAATGTACAAAGCACCTTCATTTCCCCACTAGGGGAATGGCATGTTGAAAAACAAGCCAAAAGATGGAGTGTTCTAGTAGGTTCATGTAGGAACGACATGCTGTTTTAGGAGGTCTGAGAGGAATCAAACAGGCCAGGAGGCTATTTTAATCATGAATACTTTAAGAAAAACAAGCAGTCAGTGTTACTGACCATTTCCCTTCCAACTCGTTCCTTTCTGTTTCATAACTAGCTATGAGCAAAACTAGCTGCCAAAAGCTCTCCCCTGTATCTCTAAATAGTTTCCAAACGCTTGCCTGCCTACAAGCAGGTCTAGCCAAAATGTGTCATCTGAGAAGGTTTCAGCTGCAGCCCATCCAGTAACTTGTGCCCACAGCTCAACTTCCAGGTTCTTCTAGAAGGTCTATACTATGCTAAGGTTCTCAAGTGGATGCCTATGAAAGCATTTCCCCTTCACTGCTACACACGCACTGCTAAGTCCTTGATAATTCTAGAACAAACATTCCTGGTCTGTTTTTATTTTAGTCTTTTTCCTTTTTTATTTTTTGTGTGGTTTATTTTTTGTTTCTTCTTTTAATATCTTCATAAGCCAGTATTATCATATTTAGCTCAAAAATGTGCCACAATAATAAAACAAACACCAAATATCTTAGATCCCACTGGTTTGCATAAAATAGGTTAATAACTATACAAGTGAGACAAACAAGTGTACTGAGGATCTTAAGAGCCTAAATTGGAAATTGTTTCTCTCATTTTTGTTTCTATCAATGATGGGTACTAACAAGGTTAGTAGTTTTAAAAGCCCAAAATAAAATAACCTTTGAAAATTTAAAAATCAATATTATAACAAAATTATTTCTTAATCATATGCAACTTTTAAATATTAGGGTTTCTTATAGCAAGAAATACAACAAAATTATTTTGGAGGAGGATTAGGATCCAAGGCAAGCAGACAATGGCACTGGCCTACCATTTCCAGGAACTCCTGGATATAGAATATATATAATGGTGGAAATGTTTTTTTAGGTCCAAGATAAAGATAGCAACATGCCCCATTAGAGAGAACTGGATGCATCTGACAGAAAAACTGTCAGCATATGAAATGAAGATGAGCGACAAGAAGTAATAAGCTTTGTGGGAAATAGCCAATACCCAGCCACATCTGCGATCCACCAAACAATCACCATCTCCCCTCCCTCTTCTGACAGCATCCAAACTCTACATTAAACTACATGTTCATCCCCTGCTGCCTCACTGCCCCCTTCTTCCTGCAAGCTCCCCTCGTGGTCCAAAGCGCCCTATCAGAGAATGACACTCTGCCAAGACTCATTTGGACATTTCCTACCACCCCACCCACTATGGGACGGACTACAGGCTTCTAGAGTACAAGAACGGATACCCATCTTGTGTGTCCCCAAAATCTAATACGCTCCCCGCCTGGCATTTTTATGCATTCAGGACAAATTTAAAGTTCCTTAGTGGCAAGAATACTTCTAGATTACCAAGTTGTAAAACTTGACAAAAATCACCAGCAATTATTATTTAAAAGGAGTATCAACAGCCTGTAGAAAACACTCTTAATAATCACATGCTGACCAGTACGTATTTCCTTTTACTTAACACAGCAATTTCCAAACTTTTGGTCTCAGAAATTCTTTACGGTCTTTAAATTACTGAGCATTCTAAGGAAGTTAGGTTTTTGATAAATTTCAAAAAAAAAATTTTTAAATAGCAGTTAAGGCTATTACATATGAACATGTATCATTTAATTTTATAAAAAATAACGGTATTTAAACCAGAAAAAAACTTAATGAAAACAGAGGCACTGTTTTGCATTTCTGCAAATCTAATCCACGACTTAACAGAAGACAGCCAGATTCTCATATCTGCTTCTACATTCAATCTGTTACAATAAGTTTTTTTTTTAATTAAGATTTTATTCATTTATTTGAGAGGCAGACAGAAACACTGCAAACAGGTGGAGGGGAAGAAGGTTGGGAGGGGAGAGAGAATCTCAAGCAGATTCCTCACTGAATGCAGAGTTTGACGTGAGGCTTGATCCCACAACCCTGAGATGATGACCTGAGCCGAAATCAAGAGTCGGACACTTAACCTACTGAGCCACCCACATGCCCAGCAATATGTTATTTCAGTTAGAGTATATGAAGAAAACCTGGTCTCACAAAGATAATAATTGGAAATAGGAAGAATATTTTAAGTCTTTTGGCAATTATGGATATTACTTTTGATACTACCCCAAAACTCAACAAAGTGGTCATTTCTTAAAGGTTTTTACACAATGTGAATCTAAAACCTTATCTATGATCTTTTTGGACTCTTTTACGTTAAAAATCCATTAGTCTGTCTTGGCCTTTAAATGGGTCCTTCTACCTGGACGTGATTTTTGTAAAGTCATGCATAAGTTAGAAGGAAAATATTGGAGGGGCGCCTGGGTGGCTCAGTCATTAAGCGGCTGCCTTCGGCGCAGGTCATGGTCCCAGGGTCCTGGGATTGAGCCCCGGCATTGGGCTCCCTGCTCCGCGGGAAGCCTGCTTCTCCCTCTCCCACTCCCCCTGCTTGTGTTCCCTCTCTAGCTGTGTCTTTCTCTGCCAAGTAAATAAATAAAATCTTTTTTTTTTTTTAAAGATTTTATTTATGTATTTGACAGAGCGAGACACAACGAGAGAGGGAACACAAGCAGGGGGAGTGGGAGAGGGAGAAGCAGGCTCCCCGTGGAGCAGGGAGCCCGATGCGGGGCTCAATCCCAGGACCCTGGGATCATGACCTGAGCCGAAGGCAGACATGCAATGACTGAGTCACCCAGGCGCCCCAATAAATAAAATCTTAAAAAAAAAAAAAAAAGAAGGAAAATATTGGATACCAGGTTATCCTTCAATTAGTAATGACGATAGTTAGCATGTAAGTACTTTTCTACTGTTCTAGGTGCTCTACAGTCTCATTTCTATGCATTCATTTAATTCAAATTTTGATATTAATGAAAGCATTAATAGTGACAGTCCCAGAAATACAGATCTTATTCTATCTTACATGTGAAACAACACAGCTACTGAAGAGGTTTCTGCTTGA